TCGTAACTATCCAAAATAAAGCTCATGCCAATGGCCTAAGTGGTCACCTTTAATATTAAAAAAAAAAAAAAAAAAAAAAAAAAACCATTTGATATGTAGAACATAGCCTCATACTAGCTGCCATATTGATACATTGTTCAGATGCTCCAGACTTTGCAAAGAATAACCCTGTTGCAGTTTTAGGACCACTCACTTGCTTGTTTCATAATCCGGCCATTTGATAACAAAGTACCATGATTTTTTGTTTCAAATTTTTTTGCGCCTTTGAACTTTTTTTCTTGAAATTCATTGCATTGAATAAAATATTAAAAAATCCTTGAAGTTTTGAATCTTTATGTTCAATTAAATTAACAAAGTCTTCAGTATTCAATTGTGGTTGATTTCCATACTGTTGGTCCTGATAAATAACTTTTGTTATTTGTGCTACTTGGTTATTAAAATAGTTTGAAAATGGTTCAATTTCTATAATAATAATTATGATTAATAATAAGTATTTTAAAAAAGTTAACATTTAAAATAATTATACAATACCATGTTTATTTTCTTGCAAGCTTTGAATGGTTGAAATCTTTTCCAATAAATGTTTATAAATTTTATGAGATAAATAAATCTCATCTTTAAAAACGCCTATGCCATCATCATCATAAATTTCAACATTCCATCGTTCACTTGAATTACCACTATTTGCAGATTTCAAATACCACTCAATTGCCTTTTTTTTATCTTTTAAAATACCTATCCCTTCATCATAACAAAATCCAATATTTAATTGTTCATTAGGATTTCTACCTTCTGCAGATTTTAGATACTATCCAAATGCTTTCTTTTCATTTCTAGGAATACCAATACTATTTTGATAACAATTTCCAACAATTAATTGACCTCCTGAATTCCCATAATTAGCAGATTTCAAATACCATTCAAAAGCTTTCTTTTTATCTTTAGTTACTTCCACGCTATTTCGATAACAATTTCCAACCTTTAATTGTCCAACAGAGTTTCCACCTCCAGCAGATTTTAAATACCATTCGAATGCTTTCTTTTTATCTTTATGTATGCCTATACCATTTTGATAACAATTTCTGACCTTTAATTGTCTCTAAGAATTTCCACTTCTAGCAGATTTCAAATATCATTCGAGTGCCTTCTTTTCATCTTTAGTTATCCCCATGCCATTTCTATAGCAATTTCCAATCTTCAATTACCCATCAGAGTTTCCGCCTTCAGCAGACTTTAAATACCATTTGAATGCTTTCTTTTTATCTTTAGGTATGACAGTACCATTTCAATAGCAATCTCCAACACTCAATTGTCCATCAGAGTTTCCATTTCTAGCTGATTTCAAATACTACTTGAACGCTTTTTTTTTCATCTTCAGGAACATCTATGTTACCATTGTAACAATTTTCATTATTACATTGTCCATTAGGATTTTCATATTCTGCATGTCTTTTGTCTTTGTAAATTGAACAAAATTTTTATCTTTTATTTGGGGTTGAATAACAGTACTTTCATTTTTTACTTGGGTTTGAATTTCTATTGAATACAATCAATTCGACATAATGATTATGACACAATTGGTCATATAAACTAAGCTCTACTTTTAAATCTGAAGCCGCAGGACTTTGCATAGCTTTGGACAAGAGATCTGGCATCAACATGCGAAACTTTTCTTCAAGATTATCCTTGCCGCATACTGTGCATGGTCCTGTATTTTTGCGTGGTCTACCCCTCGGCATTGTCACTAGTAAAAGTTTCTTCTAATTTGGGATCTTGAAATGTAATTTTCGGATCTTGAAAGCTAAAGCTCTGTTAAACACAAATACGAAGTTTCAAGTCGTTGTACTTGAAAAGAAGGGTCTGGAAGGGTTTGGAAATTTCGTGGCTTTTAGGTAAATCAACCAATCAACGAGAATTTTTAACAGCCAATCATCGTGATCTACGTATAAATAGTATTTTAAAATATTGACCAATCAATGGATTTTTATACATGCTTTACCGTATTAATAATTAATAACGAAATGTATACCGCAAGATTTTATTTTAATTTTATTTGGTTTTTTATTATTTTTGCTACATATTTGTCAAAGCAAACAACTTTTAGCAATGATTTTGTTCATACAGTAATAAAGGTATCAAAAATTACATATATATAGTTCGATAATAATTTTTGAATACATATAGTAATGTTGTTATCTGTAGTATGATTCAATCTTGGAAAACCACAACAAATACAATACTCAAAATGCTAGAAATAAAACTTTTCAAGGTGGTCCAACTTTAGCCTATGTGACTCCTTGGAATAATCATGGTGCGTAAAAATTAATATAATACGTTAAACATTTCTTTAACTTTTCCAAAATTATTTGCTAGGTTATGATATTGCCAAAATTTTTAAGGGTAAATTCGACTAGTAAGTATATCTAACTCGCTCATACGTAAAAAAATTTTTTTTTTTTTTTTTTAGACACCGTTTTTGTTAAAATTTGTCTAAATTTTTCGATTTGCATGTATGCTTAGTGTAAGCCCTGTGTGGTATAATATCCATCGAAGGTACTGCATGCATGCATAAATAAAGACTTTGGCAATTTTGCTGAATTTTTATTTGGATAATTGATAAAGTTACGATATCATTTTTTTAGGTCAACAAATCAATATGAGCTTACCGGTGGTCATGATGTTGATCATGATTGGATTAAAGAAATTAGTGATCAAGTCGAGGGACGTCATGTCAAAGTGGTACCAAGATTTCAATTTCAAGGTTGGACTCAAATGGATTATCAAATGTTGATAACAGAATTAAATGAAGTTGATTCCCTTGTAAATACTTTAAGCTTAGAATGCAGGTACTTAAAATAAAAAATATTTGATTTTTTAAATTTTAAATTTAAATTTTGTTTATTTCTCAAAGAAAACAAGGTTTTGGTGGCTTGGTTCTTGAAGCTAGCTATATTATACTTTTAAGAAATTTTGTGATGAAATTAGGTGCTAAATTACATGATCAATCTCAGGAATTAATTTTAGTATTACCTCCAAGAAAGCCTTCAACACCTTACTTCACGGCTGATCAATTTGATGATTTTAGTCAATTTGTTGATGGTTTCTCTCTTATGACATATGATTATTCTTCTCACGAAACGTATGTCAGTTAATTAATTTTTTAATTATCATTTTAATTTTACCATTAAACTTTACTACCATTCCAACTTTTCTAGTCCAGGTCCAAATGCACCAATTAATTGGGTAGAAGATAATATATTATCTTTTACTCCAACAACGATGAATCGCGGTAAATTATTACTCGGGATGAATATGTATGGTATGGACTTTTCTCAAGGGCATGCTGAACATATTACTGGTAACACAATAATTAAAATCATACGTCAGCATAAACCTATAATTGAGTGGAATGAAAATTTGGGTGAACATTATTTTCGGTATCAAGAGAATGGAATACCTCATACTGTATGGTATCCATCCTTGAAGGTAAAGATATTTAATGCTCTTTTATATATTAAATCTCTTATTATCTTACCTTAAACATAACACATCTATAATGATTCTTAGTCTATTGAATCTCGTCTTCAATTAGCTGAAGATTATGATACTGGTTTGTCTATTTGGGAAATAGGGCAAGGCTTGGACTATTTTGTGAGTACCAATTTATTCCTATATTTTTTTAAAAAGTCTTTTGTTGTGATCAATTCATTAATATCACGACTTCACAATGGGCTAATATTCTTTCTCCTTTTAATTTAGTATGATTTGTTATGAGTTTTAAAACAACACTGAAAAAAAAACAATTGCGATTGAAAAAGGTGCTCTCAAAAATACAATTATAAAGTTAATCAACTGTTCATATTTACGTTTAGTATATTTATAATTGTTAAACAAAGAATCGATATGAAAAAAAACAAAAAGGGTAAAATTACTAGATAAATAAAAATTGTTCATATTACATATATTTTATGCTACCAATCAAAAACTATGCAAAAATAAGACCTGTTGATTAATTTATCTATTACTATTAATGCTAATAAATAGATATTAACAATTATTGTATAAATTTTTTTTTCAATCGTTACGAGTAAGTCTGTATGATAAATAAAGTTAATGTAATATAATGTAAAATACATCAAAACTCATCACAGCCTTGTAAAATTATTACCTGTACAAATTCTCTTGTTTCACCTGCATATCATCAATTTCAGGAACAAGTTCAGAAAGTATATTGAACGCTTCTTGGTAAAAAGTCAATTGTGCATTGACTAAATCCGAAAGATTTCTAAGAGGTTCAGGCTATAAAAAAATCCCGTTCATGTCTTAATATATCTCAATAAATTTATAACTAAATTAATAAGTATTTTAAAATTTACGTTACCGTTTCTATTACTTGCTTCATCAACGTAGTAGCTTCTTCAACAGCAGCAACAAACTGATCCTCGGCTTGTTCGACTTCCAATCTGACAGCCTCGATTCTATCTTGGCGAACATTCTTAAACTTATTTTTCGCTGCATCAAGAGACAAGCGTGCAGACTTAACATTAGCCCTGGCTTTATTAGCGCTTTGAATTTGAGTGTGTAAAGTTGCATTAAAAGGTTGATGAAATTTTAGCAAAATTTCAGAATCCATTTTAAATCGATGTTCTCCGAGACGATCTTGTGCAACAGCGTATTTTTTTAAGGCAGTCCCAAGGGCATCATCATCATCAAGAAGTAATGAACCATCTTCTGCGGCTCGTGCTAATGCATGGTGTAAATTTTTTGGTTGAGTTGACGCAGCTGAAGGTTCTGGTGTTTCCTGAGCACCATTATCAGATCGTTCTGCTGGACTTTGTGCAATATATTTTAACTGATCAAAAAAAGTGGTTGAAAAATCTACAACTGATTGTCGAATTTGGTCTGGATAATCGTAAGAAGGATTCGCATAAATACGTGTTACATTGAGAAGTTTCTTGTGAACCTTCTCTAAGGCGTCAACGCGCTATTAAAGGGATACTTATAGTGAGCCGAGAATGAAATAATCGTACGATCCAAAATAAATTATTTATTTACTTTTTCAAGATCTATATATTCTGGCGGGAGACCTGTTATGTCGTCCGCATTACCAAATCTTTCCCGTGTAATCTATATACATTGAAATAAAAAGATGAAAAGATTACATTTAACTCTGCAGTTCTTAAAATCCTATGGTTCGAGCATATTACCTGCTGAAGGTTGGAGAGACTTTTACCCATTTTGCCAAGATTTAGTGGAAATTTATCTAGACTCATTGTGCGTTCTTTCAAACTTGATACGAGAATGAATAATTTAAAATTTCGAACTTAAATAGATACGATATAATCATATGATTTACACACACATGTGCAAAAAGATTGTAACTATTAAGGGAATATCGATATCACTTCACATTAATCTTTGGTGACAATAATGTTCAGGCTTAGTGGTATTGCTAAAAATACTGTTCGTAGAGCTTATACACCTTTGATACCTGGTAGCTATTTGTTCTGTCTGAAAAATCTAGTAGTCTCTAATCTATTTTAAACCTTTTTAAATTTATTCCTTTCAAAAATTTCCTAGTCATTTCTCGCAAGTTTTCGGGTACAAAAATCAAAAAGTATGCAGAACTTCCACCAACAACATCGCATTCAACAGCCTCAGAAGTTCAGTCCTCCAAAAAAATAAAACCTCCAAGCACTCTTGATAAAACAGCACAACTATTCTTTTTTACTGAAATGTTGAGAGGCATGTGGGTGGTACTAGAACAGTTTTTTAGACCTCCTTATACAATTTTTTATCCTTATGAAAAAGGACCATTGAGCCCTAGATTTAGAGGTGAACATGCTCTAAGAAGATATCCTACTGGTAAATCTTTTTTATTTTTGAAAGCATTTATTTGAAAATATCATTTATTTTTAGGTGCTAATTTTTAGGTGAAGAAAGGTAAAATAAATCATCCATTTTTGTTCTAATTAATTAATATTATAATATTATTTTTCCTTGCATTATAATTAATTTTAAATATTTAGATGTATAGCTTGTAAGTTATGTGAGGCAATTTGCCCTGCACTAGCTATTACAATTGAGGCTGAAGTAAGGAATGATGGTAGTCGTCGAACAACACGTTATGATATTGATATGACAAAATGCATGTGAGTACATTTTTACATTAATTTATTCAAAAGATTAATATTCATCAGTAATCACACAATTACTAATATCGTAAAAATTTGGATTTTAAAAATTAAGTTACTGTGGATTATGTCAGGTACTAATTAATTTACACAAGAAAATAACGATTGTATCGTATTATTAATTTAAATCCTACATTTATAGGAGGCTTGCCCAGTTGATGCAATAGTCGAGGGGCCTAACTTTGAGTTTTCAACAGAAACGCGTGAGGAATTGTTATACAACAAAGAGAAACTTCTTGCTAATGGCGACAAATGGGAGCCAGAGATTGCAAAAAACTTGCAAGCAAATTCATATTATGTGTAAAAAATAAAGAATTTGTTACAAGTGATTTCACGAAATACCAATGTGGTCTCGTTTTTTTTTTCATATGTAAAATTTTACTAACCATTAGTGTTTGGACCCGTCTAAAAAAATTTCAACTAAAAAATCTCCATACGGGTTACTCGACGGGTAGACCATATATACCTTCGGGCAGGGTTGGCAATGGTTACGTGAATGGAGCTCAAAAAAAAACTAGTATCCATTGCCAACCAATCCCGCCAACCTGGTGTCTCGGCCTAATTAGTGATCATCACTAATTAACAGTCACACGATATGTCACATGTAAAATTTTTAATTATGGGTCAAATAATTGACGCACCTAAATTTCATATGTAAAATTTAGGCAAATTTTGCTTTCTTAGCTTATTTAGCAAGAAGAAGCTATTAGTCAAATTTCTGGGTCTGAGTTTGTAACTTTTTTTAACATTTGAAGGTTCTTGTAAAATTTTAAAGATGGTTTATAATAAAATTGAAAAGAATTATGGCTATGAAGTTGGCCAATTTTTTTTGTTTGTTTGATGGTCTAATCACCTATTTTTGGTGAAATGATGTGCATCACTTATAAACAAACAATAAAAATCATCAAAAAATTGGCTAACTTTGTGGCCATAATTCTTTTTAATTTTATTATAAACCATTTTTAAAATTTTACAAGAAGAATTTTCAAATGCTAGAGAAGTTGCAAACTCAAACACAGAAATTAAACTGATAGCTTCTTTTTGCCAAATAAGCCAAGAAAGCAAATTTTGCCTAAATTATGCATATGAAATTTAGGTGTATTAATCATTTGACCCATGATTAAAAATTTTATATATGTACATGATTTGTATAACTGTTAAGTAAAATTTTGCAGATCTGCATTCTATATTAAATATTACAGTTATTTTTCCATATAATAATCTTCTATATAGTTACAAACTCTATATAATCAGTCATACGGCATGTCGGATATGATCATCATTACATTTGCACACATATGGAAAAAATTTAATTAATATATAAGAAAAATTCATAAAATTTTAGATTTTTTTGGATTTGTAAGCCACTGAGACATTTCACAATTTTTTTTTTTTGGTTATAACACTCCCGTGGCTTCCTACAAACGCTTGTACAAGTTTCGTCCGCGGTTTATAATGTAGTTGTAAATAATCTTGAGCCCGAAGGTAGTGATTAAATCTGGAATTAACCAGCATAAAGGTGGAAAATTTACGAAACGTAAGTCTTTTTTTAGCTCTGTAGGTTACTTGCATTTCGCTTTATGATTTAACGGTTAACACTCCTGCGGTATTCTACGAATTACTACATTCTTGTAAGTAATTATTAATACTCTGGCCCGAAAGTAGCCTGGAATACGAAATTATATGATACCAGCGCTAACTGCTAAGTTTTCTTTTTTAGATTTGTAGTTCCTGTGGAAAATTTACGAAACGTAAGTCTTTTTTAGCTCTGTAGACCACTTGCATATTTCGCTTTATCAGCTATGATTTAACGGTTAACACTCCTGCGGTATTCTACGAATTACCACATTCTTGTAATTTTTTAGCCCGAAAGTAGCCTTGAATACGAAATTATATGATACTACCACTAACTGCTAAGTTTTCTTATTTTAGATTTGTAGTTCCTGGAAATATTATAATATTTATACGAACTTCGTAGGGGCAAAAATGTTAAGTTATCGATTTTAAAAGTAATGTTTTTAAATATTGAGTTAACTGTTAATCTGCAAAAGTATGTCTTTCATAGTTTTTAGACCACCGGAAACACCATGCATTGCCATTCGCGTAGAAAAGCGCCATAATTGGATTTGTTAAGAAACCGAGCATTGTGGGTGTGCGTTTTGAAAGAAAAATTAGCACGATCCTAGCGATTATTGATGGTAATTAAGTCTTAATTTTTTGATTTCAAGAAATTTTTTTAGAAGAGGCATTTGTGCAAATCGAATATTTTGTTTTTCGTTCCCGTTCTGATATATGTTTTTATATTATGTAGTATATAATTATATGGGAATGGGATATGAGTTCTTGTAACTAAAAAAGCCTTATGAAACTGAAATACGTAAACTGGATGCTGATCTTGCGTTAGCAATGTGCAATAGCAGATAGATTAATTTGTCCCATTAAAACAGATAACCAGATAATTTAGATAATTTATAAATTTTATTTATTTATTTATTATTTTATTTAATCATTAAAAAATATTTAATAAATTGTATAATACTTATTGCAAATTTAAATAACTGAATAAAGTGATACATTTAATGATTGATATAATTACAATAAATATATTTATTTATTACAAAACGATTTCAATTATGAAAATATTTTTTCTTTCATGCTTTAAAAATTTGACTTTGGCCAAGACATACCAGATACAGTTAATTCAAAACTAGTTTACCATTACTGCATTATACTTAATCCTATTTCGGTTAGCTTCTTTTACCAATTAACTGTTAAGCACAAAATTCGAATTGTTGTCAAATGTGATTGACAGATCCATGCTATGCCCTTTTAGTATCTGGTATATAATTTATATCGTAATTTCTAATTTTGGTATCCGTTGCTAACAGCTAATGATCTCGCTAAACTTTATTTGGAAATTGAAAATAGGTTGTTGAATTTTCTCAATGAAATCGAAAAATTTGTGTTGGGATACGTCTTGGTAGTCGGAAATAAATTTTTCCCGAAGAGATTAATGAAGATGTGTCTTTTCCTCTTTTAATCATAATTCAAGTTCTATCGCCTGTATATAAAAAGAAATTCATAGTTAATAACTGCAAGAGTTCATAAATATATTTAAACCCAACGCTATGCCTTTTTTAATATCATGATGAATTATCATCATTTCTAATTTCGGTATCTGTTGTTAATGATCTCGCGAAGGAGTATTGATGGAAAACATCTACTTGATCTGAACTTTTTATTTGAGGTGATACTGGGAATTTTATGCCTTGAAAATAGGTTGTTTAAAAAAGGGAATTTTCTCAATGAAATCGAAGGATTTGTGTTGAGATACGTCTTGGTAGTCGGGAATAAATTTTTCCCGAAGAGATTAATGAAGATGTGTCCTTTCCTCTTTAAGTTCTATCGCCTGTATATAAAAAGAAATTCATATTTAATAACTGCAAGAATTCGTAAATGTATTTAAACCCCAACGTTTTACCTTCAATAAAATTTCCAGAATTCGATTCTAATAAAAATAAATGTTAATAAAAATTCAAAACAGAAGTATCTGACTTTTTCTCGTAAATCCAGTTCATAATCCGTATAACTTACCATTCTGATCTCATTACCCTACCAGCTACATATTTAATTTATCCCTTGCGGATAGCACTCTGTCAATAGTAAAGACGGCTGATATTTTTCTTTTAAATTTAAAAAATAAAAAAGTTCATCAATAATAAACATCAAACAAAACAACACAATAAAATACTTTTACCATCTTTATATCAAATAAAAATGGATATTAATTCTCCGCAAGATGAATCACAAGAACACTTTGTGGATATCCAGATTTCGTCGAATGATGAAAACAATGACGATGACCCTATGTTTGACTTCGAGCAAGATTTATATGAGCAAGCCTTAGTTTTAACAGAACTTGAAAATGATCCGTGGAAAGAATTTAATGCAGAAGATATATCAGTTTTACAAGAAATAAACTATGAGGAAACTGGTGGCGAATTCATTAAAGAAATTCCTTCAGTTAAAGCAAAACCAATTACATCATGTGTTATAATAGATAATGACCATAAGGAGATACGTCGCTGTAATGAAACCAGTACTAAGAGTGTGAGAGAATTAATTGGTGTATGGGAAATTGATATGGATGCCGTTAATGAGGTTGATGGAAAGCTTGAACTTCTTGGAGTATGCAGGAGGCATTTTAATTATGACCAAAATACTGTGCACAAAGAAAATTTAAAAAGTGAATGCCCAACTGATAAAAGTCAAATTAATTGCCATATTTGTTTTTTTTGCAATAAAAAAAAATTTTTTTTTAGTCGCGGAGCAAGTTGTATGGAACATATGTGGAATGTATATAACCAAACATTACAAGTACCTTGCCGTGGAATGGTTCTCTGTCCAGCTATTAAGGGCAGCTCATACACGGAAAATATACACAATTATCGGGGAGTTCGCTACGTGTGTTGCCAATGTTACGAAAAGAATGGTGGACACTTGCATAAACGAATGGGTTCAGGAATTAAAGTAGATTTGGGATGTGCTGATATGCATTCGGATGATACTATATCTGCTCTTTATCACTTTGTAAGGTTAATCGAAACAGTAGCGCAATCTGAAAATGATGGAGTAAAAAAAAATTTACTTCGAGTTCTTTTTTCATGCTTAGAGAAATTTGATTTTGATTCATCAACTGAACAACCTAGTAAATTTCCCAGTTTATTTGTAGTTAATACGGCCTTCAAAATTAAAAAATTTGATTTTTCAAAACAGCAATTTACACAAAGACCTGAGAAATATGAAGAATCTGGAAAATCACTTGCCCTTGAAATTTTAAGATCACGAACCAGTTTAGCTTCTTATAAATCAACATTAGAGAGTCCTGAATCCCTACAACAGTATTATGAAGCAATGCCAAAATGTTTAACAAGCTTTTTTGACGGATTGGTTTCTACTTTGCAACTTAAAAAATATGAAATTGTTAGACAAAAACAAAAGGAACGCAAAGGCAAAATAACTGAATTTGACGAAAGCGAAATAGTTAAAAATACAGCCTTTTTATCTTCCATAATTTTAAATCTCGCATTTAGAGGTTGGAAATTTTGGCTTCCACAAGTGATTGGATCTTTCTGCGAACGACCAAAGCTTGCATCATATTTGCGTGGTATCCTTCATGCAGCAAATGTAGTAACATATTCGAAAGATTATGAGGTAAAAATTAGAAAACAACGTATGTTAGAAGCAAATCCACAAAAAAAACTTAAGTCAGAACAAAATATTTGGAACTTAGCAGTAATAGATAATATTGATTTCAAAGAAAAAACATTTCGAGCTGGTAATCTGTATGATGAAACACGAAGTACAGCTCATGCCACCTTGCGCATGGTTTTTCAGTTCAAAATGCCTAATCTTAATATTATGCCTTCAATAGATGCTTCTGAGGTCGACATGTGTGGAAAAAGTCCATTCGTAGAACAGTGGATGGAAAAGCTTACTCAGATTTTTAATCAATTAATGGCATTTTATCCGACGAATTTTACCATGGATGATATAAATGACGCACTTCAAGAAGCAGTAGATGAAAAATGCAAAATTTCTCAACCAAATATTGTTATCTTGGAGGCTGGACCAGCACCGAATAGTAACCTTGCAGTTCATAAAACTTGCGAAATGTACGTAGAAGATCTAGATTTAAATGAAGGAGATTCTTTAGATATTGTATGTGATGAAGCTATTTTTCGCAGACTTAAGGATTATACCAATGACAAACTAAACCTAAATCCTATTCTTGGTCAGTGGCATACAAGCAAAGATATGTGTAGCGCTCTAATTTTCGCTTTTTCCGGATATGGATTATTTGGATTAGCATCTACGCTTGGCACGAAGTTCTTAGAAAAACTTCAAGATGTCGTCGATTACCGTGCAACATTTCGTGTTCTTGAACTTATCTGGGCAGCTGTAGCAATAGTCATTCATATGTATAGAAATAATCATTACATTAGACTATCAGAAATTAACAATACAAATAACAATGTTCTGAAAGTCTGGTTTCTATATTACCAATGGGCAGGTTGGCTTAAACTTCATAAGATTGGCATTCGAGTGGGTAATTTCAAAGTTCAACATGAACATTTGAAGGCCTTCGCACCACTATTTCCTGTCACTGGAAAAAACAGATATGCAGAATCTGTTCCCCGTTTTTTAATGACAGTAGAAACAAACCCAGAACTAAAAGCAAAACTTCAAATAGTCGGTTCTATAAATCTTACGGCAAACAACCATTTTTTTGCATTTGATGAAGCACTTGAATATTTCGGCGTAAAATTTGTTAAACAAAATATGACTGGACGTCCAACTGATCCTGAAAACCTAAAACTAGTAATTAAGGCGGCCCAAGATGAAAGAGATCGATTAATGTCACTACACGCAGAATACGTAAATGATAATTGTATAAGTAAAACTATGCGTGCAAAAAATAATCGAAAAGAAGCAATGTGGAAACTAGTAAATACACTCTATGAAGCGATTACCTCTGAGGAACCTGAAAAGCATTCACTGTTTGAACTATCTAATCAGCTAACACCCGATGGATATGAGCGTATTTTTACTTGCTATAACAAAGGAGTAGTTAGAATTATGAAAATCGTTAAACAAGATATTTTAAAACAAGAGAAACGTGTTACAAAGGGACGAGCACAAAAAGATCTGGTACCTTACCTTCTTGGAAAAAAAGCCACCCTAAATAAAAAAAAACGGAGTATAGAAGAATTAGACGACCAACAATGGTAACTATATACAGTAGAATTTAATTTGTCATAAGTTTGTTTAACCAATTCTTTTCGGATAGTATATTTCACTAACTCTTCTCGAATTACGGCGTATTTCACCTAACTCTTTAGATGTTGCATTTTAACTTACTCTTCCGAATGGTGTATTTCCACATATCAACTCGGTTTTAACGATCTTGAAACTCAAAAAATTTTTATTAATAAACCACCTTTATATAAAAAGTTAATTTATATTGACTTACTTTGATTTTAAATAGACGTTTTACAAAATTTTTTCTTATATATATATGTAATGCTATTATTGTATCTATTTTCTCCAAATTTTTAAAGTAATATCCAATAAATAAATATATATATTATTTCTTAGACTCGTCACAACCTTTTCAACTACTTTTTGTCTTCTCAACTTACGTATTCGAAAATAATCTTGAAGGGAAGCAAAAAATGCATACCGATCTTAATATCCTGATTATTCGGTGGAAATCTCTTGAAAAAAAGCCGAACAACTTCTATTTTGTAATATTAAGTATAGAAAATAAATTTTTTTTAAAAAAAAGATATATATGTTAATAAAATTAAATAATTGTATTGTAAAAACGTTTATTAATAGTAATAGAAATTTTTAGAAATTTATAGTAGATCAATTTGGATCGACATATCGTATGACTGATAAGTAATCGGCTACACTATTATCCTTTCCTTTAATCCGTTCAACAGTCCAATTAAAGTCTTGTAACTTAATTAACCATTTTTGCATAGTATCATTTCTAACCATTTTACCTGAGGCATCCGATATTCCCGTGTTATCAGTTCGTACTATTATTGGTTTGTTTCCAATATAATGTTGCCAATTCGTTAGGTAATAATATATCGCAAATAATTCTTTTTGGGTTGATCCCCATAATCTTTGCGTTGGTAATAAGGATTTTGATCCAAATTCTATAATTTCTTCTTCAGATTTCGTAGGTTCAGTTTCTTTACCTTTCCCTCTAGCGTCTTTAGTTTTGTAATGTGCTAGTTCTGGATTTATTTGTTTCAATACTGCTCCAATTCCGTTGTCTGAAGCGTCAGTTTCTAATATAAGTTGGTATCCTTTCTTTGGATATGTTAAGGCTATTGCATTTTTTACTTTTTCTTTTAACGTTTCAAATGCATTTTGGCAATCTTTATCCCAGTCAAATTTTGCATTCTTCTGTAATAATTTATAAATAGGCTCTGCTATTTGTGCAAAATTCTTGATATATCTTCTAAAATAGTTCATAAATTCCGTAAATGATCGTACTCCATGGACGTCTGTTGGTACTTTTAACTTGTCGCATTCTTTAATTTTGACTTAATTTGGGTGTATCTTTCCGAATTCAACTAAATAGTTCAGAATTAAAGTTTGTTTTACCCAAAATTCACATTTGTCTGGTTTTAGGCTTATGCCTGCTTTTTTTATGCGTTCAAATACCATTTGAAGATGTTCAAAATGTTCTCCTTCCGAATTACTTGCTATTGTCATATCATTCATATATACGTATACAAAAGGTAAGTCTCTGAATATTTCATACATGTATCTTATCATGTATGCTGGTGCCGTTTTTAATCCCATAGGTAATACATTCCATTCAAATTTGCCTTTTCCTGGAAAGAATACTGTCGTAAGATGTTTATCTACTTCTCTAAGCTTAAATTAATGATAAGCTGCTGTGAAATCTAGTGTAGAGAATATTTTATGTTTCGCTAGGTTTTGTAACATCGTATTTATATGTGGTATTTTATAAGGATCATCTTCTAAATATTGGTTAAGTTTCGTGTAGTCTACTGCTACTCTATATGATCTATCTTTCTTTTGAATAATAACTAATGGTGATACCCATACTGCTTTCGATGGTCTAATAAAATCTTGTTTTCGTAAGTCTTCAAATAATTTATTTGTTTGTTCTATTTTATCTTCTGAGTATTGTCGTGGCATTTGTGCCTTATCTCGAAATGGTATCTCTTTTTCATCACATTTTAATGTCAAAGTTATTGGTTTAAAGAACTTTTCATTAAATGTAGTTGCTTTTTCATTTTTTCTTCGAAATATGTTAATAAATTTCTTGAATAATGGTGCCATTCAAGTTTTATATTCTTGTGTAGTATTTTTTATTAATACTTCATATCGTTCTTTCTCAGTTTTTTCTTTTTCTTCAGGTTTCATTTCCCATTGTTTATCTTTTTCTTTTGGTATTTCAGCATCGTATATTTCTATTATTTTGGTTACTTTTTCAAGGTTACCAATATGATATTTTTCCGTATTAATATGGGTTTATCCACATAGTTAATTACTCTTATTTTGTTATCATTAATTATTTCGTTCTGTACGACTATTCTATTTTGGGCTAAATAGATTGGCGTTTGTATTAAATAATTTCCTTTTTGAGATATATTAATTGCAGTCCATGTATATGGTCTGAGCGTTTATTCTTGATTAGTATAATATGGTATTCCTGTACCTAATGTTGGTATGATATATTTTCGTATTTCATTTGGTATATGAGCTAGTTCATGGTGTATTGTCATTTTATTATTTCTTGCCAATTGTGATTGGTACTGTGATAATTCAATATTGAATATTTCTTTTTCAATATATAATGATTCATCAGTAGTTGTGCTTTTATTACTTTTTGTATCCATTTCATCATTATCGTTGCTATAATATTCTTCTTGAAATTGTAATTGTTCTCCTTCAACAATAGTTTGAGGCGAAGATACTTTTTTTGATGATGTTGCTTGATTATATCTTTCATCAAATGAATCTTGTCTTTTTCTATAGAATTCATCATTTTATTCTTCTTCATGGATATTTGTTATTGCTTGATCTTTTACCACATTATGTCTTAAATTTGTTCTTGTCGTTTCTTAAATATATTTCTTTGCCACCAATTTGGCGATTTTGGTGGTTGTTGAATTATTTCTTCAGTTTTTGGTAGTGATTGAATTGTTTCCGGATTTATGAATATTACTTGTGGTCTTTCTTGACCTGGTGAATAGTATTCTACTTGTCCTAATACGTTGGTTTTAACAATATCTTCATTATTGGTTTTATTGTTATTTTCTAGTTCGATACTAGATACGCTTGAACTTGATGTTTTAGGTTGCTGTTGATAATTCTTTTGATTATCATGCAGTTGTTGATAGTAGTCATCTTCTAGTTCACTACTATTTTGTGCACTTCTAGATCCTGATCTAAATCGTGGTTTAGTAACTCCAATTGTTTCATGTATTTTTCCTATTAATTCTTTAGGTACTGTTTCGAATGTTATTCCTGGAGAATTAGTTATAGGATTTCGTATTTCAGTAGTTTTAATTATATCTGGGTTTTCTTGTTTTACCCATGCTGTTAGAAAATCTATGTGTTTCTGTTTAGCATTTTCTCTTATTTCCTTAGTAGGATTTATCTCAGATATTCCTAATAAATTCTGGATAATAACTTGTCTTCCAGCATTATCTTCCTTTTTGAACTTATCTAGAGTCATATTTAGTATTCTGTCTGTTTCTCCTCGATATTTTAATTCTCGCTCTCGTACTTCTTCCTTTAAGTATTGTTGCATTGAATATTGTTGTTTATCCCAATATTCCATAAAGGCGTATATCTTTTCTTTATCTGTCATTGTAGGATTTCTATTTCATATTTCAAATGGTAATGTTGCTATTTCTTGAATCATATCTGCAAATTTCTTTGCTTCTTGTTTATCCATTCTATTGACTCGATTATATTGCATTTCTATGTTTGTTACTTCGTCTAGTAAGTCTGCTAAATCCTTTTGTAATGCATCTGAGTCCTTTTCTACATGTTCTTTTAGATTTGAATTTTCTTTTTCAAATCTCCTAGTAGATGTCCAAAGCTTGGTGAAGCTGGTGTAGGTGGTGGTGTTTTCATTTTTATTGGTTTTGTAGAATGTTTATTCAATACTTCATTGACTTTATCTACTATTCTGGATGCTTTATACATTGTCATATTTCTTTGAGATTTCTGTTCTTTTTGGTCATAATGATTTTCTTGACCTTGTAATGTCATTTCTGCTA